CCAAATAAAATTGCATGGAGTGACGCATCTACAGCCTCAAGGAATTGTCAGAAAGTGTGGTACGACACGTGATCTATATAAGGTACACACAGCCCACGTAAGACAGGGTGGAAAACATCCGAGTGAGACTTCAAGTCACATGTTGCAGCATGAGTTCTAAAGCTCTCGAGGGGGCTATTCAACTTGATCTGCGAGGTTTGGATTTCCTCTTTTTTCTGGTCTAGAGCCAAGTTGCAGAAATAACATGAGACGTGCATCGTAGTTATTGTTTAATGAATGATGAGTTAACATCTGATGTGAAATTGTGGTGGCATTTTGTCTTGTACTTGTCTTCAAATGTACTAGTCCTGTAACGGTTAAACTCACTTAAAGGCCCACTGCACTACTTGTAGCTACTTGCGCCCTCTTACACCAAACAATGCCTAATCGGTGACCATTGGTCCCCCATAATCCTCTTTTTCTTATGTTAACTGAGAGCTGAGTTGATGAGATAACCACCTGTACAGTGACCTTGCAGGGCGCTCTAATCCCTCCTGTAAACTATGGCAGATAAGCTTTAACCTTATTCCGGTGACATTGCATTTTGAAAGGAACTTAATGAAAGTTATTCTTTCTTTTTTCATGCAGTGATGTAAAGGTAAGTGGTTTAGAGAGCAGAAAGAAGAAAAAAACTTACAAAAACTATATTTTGCATCCAGTCATCCACTTAAACAATGTTCTACTAATTGATTTGCTTGAAATATATATAATTCCTCTATCTTTCAATACTCTCATCGTCTACTCTCATTTAGTAATCATTTATTAGGCGCCTTAGCAAAATGTAATGTCGCCAAAAGATGTGGTCGGAACGCAAAATGCTAATTACTTCTTTTATGACATAACTTTCAAAGAACCACAATTCAGGTGGGATTTTCGATTTTGGTCTTCATGGGTATTTGTAGCAACTTCAGACAAACCTCTGGAATGTGAAATATAAGAACTATGGTTTTTGCTTGCAATGTAAAGTTGTTAATGCGTTATAGGTAAGAGTCCTACCCTCTCTCGTTCCTTGTCTCCCTACTTTCCTTGTCCCTTTCACTCCTTTTATGATATGTCTATCCAGGTTATGTATTTGTGTGTACTGTGTTCCCTTATTATTGGTATACTATCTTTGCAACTATAAGTTATAGGGGGCTGCAATCTACAAGCCTAGCTTTTCAGCAGTCCCCTCCATGACCAACCTGTTTCATATGCCTGTTGTACACTGTGGACCAATTACAAATATATTGTTAAGTTTCATTGTTTTACTATGTACAATGCAATCCCATGTACTTCATTTTATTTTGTTGGAAATGGAAATAAACGAAATGAAATGAAATGACATGCTTCAATATAAACAGATAGATCTCTACTCACTCTTGTGGATCATAGAGGCTGTTCACACCGGCAGAGATAGTGCGCGCTAGACCGCGCTATCTCTGCGGTTTGGAAGGTACAACATCGTTTCGGTCCGCCCAACAGCGAGCCACGGCGAGCCAAAACGGCGTGCCACTGGAGCACCTCTTGGGGGTGGTCCACGAGAGATAGCGCGGTCTAGCACGCGCTAGAATAAAGGGGGTGCTACGATAGACCGCGCTATCTCATTGCGGTGTGAACAGCCTCATAGGGTATGTGACACCTTGGAGATGACTTTCACACCGGCCTCCTGCGCTAAGGTACTGATAGCCTTGTCTCGGGTCCTCCCAAATGCCCCCCCCCCCCCAAGTCCCTTTAATGCTTCAATAGTGGGGCTTTAAGGGTTAATAGAAACAGATCTCTACTCACTCTTGTGGATCATAGAGGGTATGAGACACCTTAGAGATGACCTTCACTCCGGCCTCCTGCGCTAAGGTACTGATCGCCTTGTCTCTGGTCCTCCCGAACGGCTCGCTGTCCTCTTCAAACGACAGCTGCGTTACTTTCCATTCCTAAACAAAGTCATACAAAATGAGGGAAATTGATTAGCTGTGAATACGATGGAACACATTTTAATTCCTGCTGCAATGCTGAATATCCAAATTAACCCGCATTTATAATTTCTTTCTTTTTTCCTCCTCCTTTTTGCATTTGTATAATATTATGTTTCTGTTGTATTTCCTTCTGTTTCAAAGTTCCAAAGATAAAATTTACCATAATAATTGGCCTTGTAATGCTGATGATGATAATAATCAAAATAACACAACAATGACAATAACTAGAGAGATAATAGTAGAAATAATATTCAATTTTTTGCATCCAAGGTAATTAGAAAATTGTATTTTTATACTAAGTACTCTAACAGCAATTTTCTTGGCACATTCAAGAAATTCTATTACCAAGCACCCATATATTCTAGATTTTCTACAATCTACACCTGGGTCACAAGTGGCAAATGGGGTAGTGTGAAACTAAAAGTGTGTGAATTACCTTAAAGAGTCTTGGAAGCACATCTGCAGGTTGGCCTCTGATTAGGAAGAGTCTCGAGTTGAGCTTCCTCAGACTGGAGTCTAGGTCCTCCAAACATTCTAATAGAAACCTGATTGGTGAAGAGGAAACAGAAGAAGATTGTGAGAGGAGGGTAAAAAGCAATGTTGGGGGAGAGAGGGGATATGGGATGAGAGAGAGGGAGAGAGAATGAGAGAGGGGGAGAGAGGGGGAGAGAGGGGAGAGAGGGGAGAGAGAGGGGGAGGGGGAATGGAGAAAGAGAGGGGGTAACAGGAAATGTTGTGGAGAGAGGGAGAGAGAGAGGGGGGGGAGTGGAGAAAGAGAGAGACCAAAATGGAGAGTGAGAGAAAGAGAGTGAGAGAAAGAGAGAAGAAAAAGAGAGAGGAGAGAGAGAAGAGAAAGAGAGAGGAGAAATAGAGAGAGAGAGAGAGGGGAATGAGAGAGGTAATGAGAGAGTGAGATAGGGGATGCGGAAGGAGAGAGAAAGACAGATAAATAGATTTTTACTTTAATAAACCATAGCTCTTTCATACCCTTCAAAAGCTTTGTGGCTCACCACTCCTATTTCTATTTTTGTTTTTACTCTTAAAGCCTATCTGCACTACTTTGGCCAGGAGGGATTAGACCTCCCTGCCTGGTCATTGACAGGTGGTTATCTCATCAAATCAGCTCTCAGTTAACATAAGAAAAAGGGGATCATGGGGGAGCAACGATCACCACTTTAATAGGCATTGTTTGCTATATAGAGGGCGCAATGTACATGAACATGTAAGTAGTGCAGTGGAGATTTAAGAGATTTTGAGAGCCTACATGTATACGTATACCAATTGGTCCTGTCCAGTACCACATACATGTTCCTGTATGGCGATAAAATGGCGATAAAAGAGAAAACTTACAAACACACAATAAAAATTGTGTGTTTCTTCTTCTTCCAGTATAGTACAGTCCGCCGTTGGCGTATTATCGTACCTTGTGCTTGTCAAGTGCTGAGTGTACAGTGCAAGTAAAAAGGCTCTACAAGAATTCTTTGTGCAGCTAAAAAAACAGTCTGAAGCTCAACGGAGCTTGATGTGTTGCACCTTCTGCTTGAAAAGTTCCAAAGAGGTGCAATCGACGACAGCAGATGGTAAGGAGTTCCACAGTCGGAAAGTATCTGGGTAGAATGTGGTTTGGAATAGCAGAGTTCGGGCAAAGGGGACATGGAACTTCTGTGGATTTCCACGGGTGCTGGGACCAACAACGGGTATGAAGTAGGTGACTGGAAGATCAACCAGGCCATGGAGTATGCTGTAAACCATGCCTACTTTTTGCTGAGCCCTTATTTCCGGCAGACTTGCCCATTTAAGTTGATTCAGCATGGCTGCTTGTAAGTTTTCTCTTTTAAATTGTGGGTTTGTAAGTTTTCTCTTTTATCGCCATTTAAATTGTGTGTTTGTAAGTTTTCTCTTTTATCGCCATTTAGCTTGTTTTGTTCTTTCTCTCTACAAAAACACTCACAATCATGACAATTGTATTGGCTCTCAAAATCTCTTAAGACTAAAAAAACAAAGCCAAAATTAAGCAATGGGTCTCTCTCTCTCTCTCTCTATTATGTTTTTTTTTTCTTCATTACCTCTCCATCCTCACTGAAAAAAAAGATTGACTAGACTAGGTCTAAGGCCTAATCGATAATCTAGCTAATACATGTACATGTACATGTAGACTAGCTACATCTAGCTATATTTTTATCTCTATCAAAAGTATCATAATGAGTAAAACTGACCTTTGTAAATCTCTACAAAATAGTCTACCTTGTTCTCCTCTTTTTCACTCGTTTTACAATATTAGTCGAGAAATAGGTCTACAAAACCAATTAAACCATCAAATATTAAAATTGTAACACCATCTGATGAGAAACACAAGGGCTTTGACCTCGACTGGAGCAAAATCAGTTAACACCCTTTTGTTTTTGCTCTCAACGGATGATGTTAATTGTTATGTTTCAGATCAAATATTATAGTTACCTCCATCTGTTGACTCCTTTGCTACAAGATCCTGCGAACCAAGGGTCTAGAATATAAATACATCTGAATCCACTGGCTGATTTGAGTCCTTCCTTGAGTGCAGGATTATCATGAAGACGAAGTCCTTTACGAAACCAGTGAACAAGACATCCTGGCTTTTCTTCACGATCACGCCGACTGGATCTATGCTTTCGCTTCGGCATTTTGCAGACGTCGGGAAACACAATTCTTTCACAAAATGAGTCAGTCGAAATCAGACCGAATTCTAACTGACAATAAAGAGTAAATGTAGACCTTGTTATGAATATGATATCCAAGCAGATAATGGGAGAATCTAGTAAATGTTAAACATCAAACGGCATCAAACAGTAGGCGGAGCTGAATGATGCTAATCAAAATAATCAGTTAATATACTAGATCTTGTCGAATCGTGAGAATGGCGAAATACACATGCCACAGACTGTCACTAGTCACAGTGCATGCACTGTAGTGATAGATGATTCAGTTCAGTTGTTGTCTGTTCAATCGCTAGCTTGTTTCTGCACGTTGAAACCAATGCAGCTAGCTTCGTATAATATAACCTAGTTCTAAAAAAAAAGTTCATTATGCAAGAAGCATGCGAAGCAACGAGGACAGAATCCGCCTCAACAGTTTCCAGTTCAGTCAACAACATTTGCACGTCAGTAAGTTGTTATCATGGCCGTACATAGTCTATCTTCAGCTCCTACTGTACCATTTTTTAACTTTAACCAACATAATTAAGATGTTTCTCTGCCGGATCGGTAAATTTTGTAATCTTAAATTACAAGAAATAGTTATTCTAACGAAAAAAATATCAAAATAATTATTTAAAAATGTTTTAAAGCCTTATTAATGTGAAAGCAAATGAAAACAAATACGATGCGTTGAAGAAAGGCTAGCGTAAATCTAGCGTCGCCAAAAACGTGACCCCAAAAAGAAGATCGGGTGAAGAATCCTGATTGGCCACTTCGGTGGGGGATGGGCTGCATTCTTAAAGAAGTCACGTTGCAGCTAACATGTTAAAGTGAACAGAATATAGGGCAACATAGCAGAGGAGTATACATGGATGCACAGAGAGTATAATCCGTGACTTTCGTGCACATGATACTCTTGTGAAGAATGTATATATTAATTATCTTCTCACTACCAAATCTATCACAAACTAAACTGAAACGGCGAGATAATTTTGAAACGTTGACACATGCCACTGAGTCTCTCATCTCGATCTCTCCCGCTAAAATAAATATATATATATATATATATATATCTCTCTCTCTGTTCCTTTCTCTGTCTTTTTCTCTATCTCGGAAAAGTACCATGGTAACCATGTTTTTTTTGTCCAAATTACCATGGTATCAAACAATGATAAACATAGGGTATCAGACAATTCAACAACAAAAAATTCAAGATTCAAAATTCAAGATTTATTATAAACATTATGATAAACATAGGGTCACTAATCAATGTATTTCATTGTTATGTACCATGATAATCATGGTTACCATGGTGGACGGTAATTTGGACCAAAAAAAACATGGTTACCATGGTACTTTTTTTGTAAGGGGGCCATCTCTCGATCCCTCTCTAAAAATCATAAGAAATTATAAGTTTGTCATCTAAGACCATTCATGAAAACCAGTATACCAGTTACAGTGAAAATGTTGAAATTGCATGTAAAATTACGACCTTCAACTACTTAATAGTAGGCCCTACAAAGCAATTTCTAAAAATTGTAACAAAGGCTCAAATAGTATCTGTATTATGATGTATAGGGAAATAACTGTGCTTACCATAGTTATGGCAGGTCAGGGCCCAATGATCTTCTTTCTTTTGTCTTTCTTCATCATCATAATTGGCCTATTATGCAAATGGCGATGTGATCATAAATGACAAACAACTTAATTATGTATTATTCAATTAGTTTTAAATAGAGTCATGTTTCAATACTTGAGGAAATCCTTATTAACTCTAAATCCTCATGCGAATTCGCAAACTACTTAGCTTTATTACTGAGCTTGATGTTGCTCCAAATCTTTACTAAAATTGATTCTTATAAGAAGGACTTGATTATAATTTTAGTGGCGATTTTAAGATAAGTTTTAAATAGAGTCGTGTTACAATTCTTGAGGCAATCCTAATTGACTCTTATCCTAATACAAATTTAATTCGCAACTAACTTGGCAACTATAAGCTAGAAATGTTGCACCAAATCTTTACTAAAGCTAATTCTTTCAATAAGATACTTTATTATACGTTAAGTGGCGATTTTTAGAATCGATTCCTTGACAACGACCAATCCATTGTGACGTACTTCTGACACTTTTCAGCAAGTGGCACACAGGACATTGCTTTCTTGAGGTGCCAGTTTCAAGCAAAAAACATCCTGTCTACTATTTACAGGTCCGTAGTGGTCCCATTGGTGGCTTTACCGATGGTTTGGGTTTACCGGACCAGCTTACAGCCCCAAGTTCCGGCCACCGCTGCTCTCAACATTATAATCAATCTAAAAAGTAAAGCTGGACAAATACACAAACAAGAAAGAAAAACGAAAGCAAAGAAACAAACGAAATCAGAACAAAATTAAAACCTGACGAATAATACAAAAAATTGAAACATTAGTTCATGCGAGGTACACGAAACACTCTACCCAACAACACGTGATTACTTTACACTATGACTTTGAATTTAATAATTCATAACAAAACAATTAGATCGCTGATTTAAAGGCTACTATGCAAATAAAACCTTGATTTCAAACTACACAGTAGCCAGTAGGCCTACTCTAGAAGAAAGCAGAAACAAATCAGAGAGATGCAGACTCGTTAAAACTTGGAAGAAACAGGATCAAAAATAAGATCTGCAAATGTTTAACGTTTGGGCACAATTTCCTATTAATCGTCTAAACTATGTAAACTAAACAGATCTGACTTGATAATGACCCTTTACGGGTAGGAGGGTGGGGGGGGGGGGGGTAGAGGTGGACTCCAGAGTCCAGCCCCAAAACTATTGACTAGTTTTGATAGCAAAAGAAAATCAGAGATACTGATAAAATCCCCCGTAAAATCCACACCCCTCCACGGTGTCACCCTGAAGAGCATGAGCCCCCCCCCCCCCCCGGCCTCACATTGTCACTGATTGTTGTTTTGCGGACGAAATAAAGAGTTTGGCAAACAAATCGTGTTTTTTAAAATATTTTATAATACTGCTGTTATCCCCTATTCTTTTCAAAGATGATTTTGCATTCCGTTTTGATTATGCGTTGTGATTCTGCTTTAATATATGTATCTATTTTTTAAATTGAATAATGATTGTAATTCAAAGTTGTCGTTCTTTTATTCAATGACTCGATTTGAACTGACGAACAAATTTATAATGAGTTCGACATGGGGGAACAGGAGGGGTGTTGTAAGTGTTATACATTAAATGTTATGCCCATAATAATTATTATCTCCAATGACGATATTCAAAATATTCTCGAGAAGAGAAAATAACTGGCCTGGCTCTCGAGTCTTTTTTTCGGAGCCGGTGATCGAACTTTACGAGTCTCGATGATTAAAGAAGTTTCCATCCATTTTGGTCCCTGGTTTTATTTTCTGTTTCAACCATCAACTGCGTCAAGATCAGAAGTAGAAGAATAAAAATGTTTTTATGGTAATCATTATATAATTGAATTTCTGGTTATACTGGTACCAGTAGCTGTTCTAGGGGTTGTTTAAAATAATATACATACAACTATACATATTCAATCTTTTTTATTAATTAATCAATAAATTGATCACTTAATTCAGTTATTCATTAAATGTATTTACTAATTTCCTCATAAAATATATATATATATATATATATATTATATATATATATATATTTTTTTTTGGGGGGGGGGGGGAGGGGTTCAAAGCATGGACCTACAGGTTCAAGCCACTCCGATTTCCTTTAAAGCCCCCCTACCCCAACAAAACAACAACAACACAATTTATTGTTAACCACTCCTGATTTGTGACAACAGACGAAACGGCGTGTGAAGATACGTGCTTCTGTGACGAACCAGGTATACCTTCCGGCCGTTAGACCCATCCAGGCACGTATTGATTGTCACGTTTGTGGCTGCGTGCATGCTCGTTGGATAGAAGTCTTCATCTTCAGACCTTATTCGTATTAGACTCCCACGTCAAGACATTACGAGAGCAAACACCATTGTCTAAAAACGCGTGTAAAACGTATAAACATGCTGAAGAAAAAGACTATTCGACATGACAATTTTAAAAACAATGTACTCTAAAATTTCAAGTGATAAACCAATATTTAAAGAGGCTGAGGAGTGACGGCGTTTTAAAAATGTCCGGAGGTACACGCTGTTAGATAACTGAACGAGATTCCGCAATACATGCACGTGTTTGCTAGTATGCGATATGGGCGATATAAATAGCCTCACGTTTTTGAACACGCCGACATCCGATCGCGAGCAAAGTGCAATTCTAATTTTATCCACTAATTTCATCTAAAATTTCACCAGTATATGCTTCTCTGGCCTTTCTGCTTTCATCTAAATCCAGTAGCTTGACCATAAGGCTTCCAAAAAGGTGATGTATTGTCAGGGGAGCTAGCGGAACGTCATTCAAAAGTGGGGTGCATACACCAACCAAAACAGGGCAATTTCTGGGGGAAAGGGGCATCTTCAAAGGGAAATCTCAAAGCAAAAATATACATTTTTTGTTGTTAGAAATTGGTATTTACCCCTACATTGTGATTAAACTATCAGGGAGGATTTCAATGTTTCTCTTAATACATTATACAAGATATTGCTTAAGCAACATACTTTGCAGTTACAATTATAAAGAGGAAAAACCCAATCCTGATGGGGTTATTATGCACATTCTCATAACAGAATACTGAAAAGACCTTCGATATAATTATATCATCTATAAATGAGAGGGAGCGTATAGCGAGCGACCTTTGGTGGAAATTGGTCTAAGGGCGCGTTCATGCATGTTAAGTCGCTTTAAATCTTGGGAACGTATAATGATGAGAGGAAAAAGAGGACACTTATCGAAAGGGATAAAGAATTGCTCGGATGACTACGCATTTTAATCGTTTTACTCTGGGCATCGGTGCCAATGCATTTGTATACAAATGTCCTTATTCCATTGTGTTTTAAATTACTCCCTCTAAATTACGTCTTTCTCTACTGTTACGGTTTTACATCTACAATTTCTATTTTTATCAGGAACCTATAATATACAAGCTTTTCAATCGGTTCCTCACATTCTACTTAATCTATCATAATGAATATCATTGAGAAGTGCCCATATACTTTCTATTTGATATGTCCGTCTATATTTTTTTGTAAATTGTGGAAAAAATAAACTTGAATCTTGAACATTTGAAATTAACAGCAGCGGGAATGGCAATGTTAATTGATTATTGTAGCAACACTCTTGCAGGACTATGTTCAATTTGAACTGTGTTCATTTTAATTATATCATAATTATAGTATACGGTATCAGGTTTCGTGCAGGATGATTTGCCCCCTCCCCATTAATACACCGTCTGAATTCATCAATTAGTTAAAGATAAAGGTGAGTTCTGGTAATGCGATTGCATTGTGAAAGAAAAGGTGTGGAATGGATCAGAAATAGTTGATCATATAGCATGTAAGTATTGGTATGTAATGCAAGGTTCCGGAGTCATCAAA